CAGATTTCTATAAATATATGAAATAAAAATAGAGATATCTTGCTTTTAAAACCGTATAAATTTCTTTAAAGAAAGAAGTTAAAAAAGAAAAATTCTTATGACGTTTAATATATTCTCTTGCCTTCTCTTTTTCTGTCTAAGCTTGTGCATTACAGTTACAACGAATTATTAGAAAATAAAGAACATTAAAAAGAAAGTTTAAACAGTTTACTTTGTATTTTTTCTTAACTTCATCGCGAAAAAGATATTTTTCAATGTTTATTTAACATCAACATTGCTCCATAAATCTGTTACGAATGAAATTAGCGTCCAGATTTCTATAAATGTATGAAATAAAAAAAGATAGAGATATCTTACTTTGAAAACCGTATAAATTTCTTTAAAGAAAGAACGAAGTTGAAAGAGAAAAATTATTATGACATTTAATATGTTCTCTTGCCTTCTGCTTTCTGTCTAAGCTTGTGCATTACAGTTACAACGAATCATTAGAAAATAAAGAACATTAAAAAGAAAAGATTAAACAATTTACTTCGTATCTTTTCTTAACTTCATCGCGAAAAAGATATTTTTCACTACATATTTAACATCAACATCGCACCATAAATCTGTTACGAATGAAATGATCGTCCACAGATATATGAAACAAAAATAGCGACATCTTATTTTTATTTAATGCAAACTGATCGCAACAGAGATACGCGCCAAATTAGCGCGAATCGTCCGCGAATAGTCGACGCGTTCGTTCGAAAATAAATCGCGAGCGATCAACGCCGGCTAGACTCTTGTTGAACGAATAAATTATCGAAAGACGAGCTTCGCGGCCCGGTTGCCAAAAAATCGGAGCCTCGTTTTGCTCAAGGGCGAACCGGCGGAGGTCGGTGGACGCGAACGTGTGCGAGCTCGTGTCGAAGATTTCGTGGTCGTTGTTGCAGAGAAAGAAACCGGAAGGAGGGTAACGGGCACGGAGCGACGAACCAGAGGAAAGAAGCGGAGTATGAGGGCCCCGGAGGAAAAACGGAAAGCACGTTCACAGCTCGGCGAAGCGGTTAATGATTGGGAGTCACCGAACACAGCTGGCCACGTTGCTGTCCCCTGCAGCTGGAGATGAGCACGAAGGAGGAGGTGCGCTCGTCGACGACGACGACGACGACGACGACGACGTCTGCGAACACGAGCACGGCCACGATCGTCGGGCTGCCGTCGTCGCCGATGATCGATGCCGCGGCCGAGGAGGACGAGGAGCCGCCGACCTTGGGCGATTCCGGCGACATGGATCTGGTGAACGGGCCGAATCCGTGGCTTCCGGCCTACGGGTTCCAGCTACAACATCACTCCCATTTCCAACCCACGCACGAGGATCTACGGGCTAATGGTTTGTACTGTTACCGCTTCACTTTCTCTGTCTAGTTTAACAATGCACCGCGGTGCACGCGCGCGCGCGCTCTGCGACGATCCGCGATTAACGCGATTCGGATCGATCGAGGAAAAATTCGGGATTTGGAAAGTTCCGAGCGATCTTTCGAAGTTCGTGCGTTTTGCTGGGCATTGCTTTGGCGCGGCTGCGGTCGGTATGTTAACGGAAACGTTCGTTTTTACGGTGGCCCGCGCCTTTTACGGTGTTCGTACGCCTTTTGAAACGCGACGATCGTTTTAAAAGTGAACTGAATGACTCGACGGTGATTTTTTAGATGACGGAGGGACTGGTCTGTTAGACGGTGGCTAAAAAGCTTTTTTTTTTAATTTTTCTATTAGTTAGGATGGAAGGAAGAATTAAATAGCCTTGCTTTTTTAACCTTTTTTTATCTGAGTGTATAACGAGAATTTAAAATATGCCTTTTGTAGATCTCATTTTTTTTCAATATGCATATAGGTTACTGAGAGCTATGGGAGACGGTTTTTTAACACTAGATTTTATCGCTGATTTTTTAATTTACGATTGTTCGTATCGCGAAGTAAACGTATTCGAAAGCATTCGAAAGTATTACGCCTTTGGAAATAGAATAACCTTTTTGGAATTGAATCGAGCGAGTTTAACCTTTTTGGAATTTGAACATTTTTCGAGGGGATTTTTTTCGAATTTTTTTCAACGAGAATAACCTTTTTGGAATTCGAATATTTTGTTAGAGGGATTGTTTTATCGCGTATATGGTCTGTAAAAAATTGGTTGATCGTAAAGTATCTTGGAAAGCTTCATTCCGGAAAGCGTGCGAAGATATTGTTGCTCGAAGACGAAACACAGGGTACATCAGAATCCACTTAGCCAAGAAAGGGTGTAATCCATTATCTCTTTCGAAAGACGGAATCAAAGTTCAGGAAATTGTTTGGCTGGCCAATGAATCAGGTTCGGCGACATGGAATGATGACGCGTAGCGATGACGTAGGACAGGAACGACTTGGAACATGTTTATAGTAATGCGGACTATATTTCATTATTATTAATGCTTCGCCGACGTGTTTGCACAGTTTTATTTAAATATAGATTACAAATGATGATTGAATTGCAAGTTTCGCGCCTGGAACGTGGTATCGAAATCTTCTCGCGCACGTTCTAGCATAATCGTTCTTAAAAACGTCAATGAAGTCATTGTCTGTATTCATTTTAAATCGGTGACTCTCGCGAGCTGAAATTAAAATTCTTTGTGTTTAGCATCATTCTTGTAGAATAATTCACGCCTGCACACAGATTCGAACATAATTCTCTCCGATTTTACTTCAGATTTCAAACAAAAAAATGGACAATTCGGGGAAAGGAGAATACTATTATTCGAGCCTCGAGGCTCGCTTTTATAGTTGCAGATTGTCAACAATAATTTTTAACCTTTAATTTAACTTTGACATAACCTTCAGATTTCAAACCAAAAAATGGACAATTCGGGAAGAGGAGAATACGATTATTCGAGCCACGAGTCTCGCTTTTATAGTTGCCGATTGTCAATAATAATTTTTAACCTTTAATTTAACCTTGACATAACTTTGACATAACCTTCAGCTTCCAAACCAAAAAGTGGACAATTCGGGAAGAGGAGAATACGATTATTCGAGCCTCGAGGCTCGCTCTTATAGTTGTCGATTGTCAACAATAATTTTTAACCTTTAATTTAACCTTGACATAACTTTGACATAACCTTCAACTTCCAAACCAAAAAGTGGACAATTCGGGAAGAGGAGAATACGATTATTCGAGCCACGAGTCTCGCTTTTATAGTTGCCGATTGTCAATAATAATTTTTAACCTTTAATTTAACCTTGACATAACTTTGACATAACCTTCAGCTTCCAAACCAAAAAGTGGACAATTCGGGAAGAGGAGAATACGATTATTCGAGCCTCCGAGGCTCGCTCTTATAGTTGTCGATTGTCAATAATAATTTTTAACCTTTAATTTAACCTTGACATAACTTTGACATAACCTTCAGCTTCCAAACCAAAAAGTGGACAATTCGGGAAGAGGAGAATACGATTATTCGAGCCTCCGAGGCTCGCTCTTATAGTTGTCGATTGTCAACAATAATTTTTAACCTTTAATTTAACCTTGACATAACTTTGACATAACCTTCAGCTTCCAAACCAAAAAGTGGACAATTCGGGAAAGGGAGAATACGATTATTCGAGCCTCGAGTCTCGCTTTTATAGTTGCCGATTGTCAATAATAATTTTTAACCTTTAATTTAACCTTGACATAACTTTGACATAACCTTCAGCTTCCAAATCAAAAAGTGGACAATTCGGGAAAAGGAGAATACGATTATTCGAGCCTCGAGGCTCGCTTTTATAGTTGCCGATTGTGTTTAGCATTATTCTTGTAGAATAATTCGCGCATGCACACAGATTCGAACGTAATTCTCTCCAATTTTCGTTCAGTTTTCAAACAAAAAAAAATGAACAATTTAGGAAGAAGAGAATACGATTATTCGAGCCTCGAGGCTCGCTCTTATGGTTGCCGATTGTCAACGATAAAAACAAGGTGCACGAATATTCGCGTCTCCTCTTCCCAAATTGTCTCTTTCGAAATCATCCTCTTCAAAGATTCCCGGATCGCGTACAAATCTGAGCGTCGATTAGGAAGAATTTACCGTACGCATTTGCACCTCGCAGAAGATGCAGGCGACTCGGCGCACGAGGCGGCATTCGCGTTCGAAGTTTCTACATTAGAAATTATACCACGCTTTCATCGTTTCAGCGCCTTCAGTAATAACATTTAAAAAAAAAGTCCGGCACATTATCGTAATATATGCCGATTTCTCGGCTTCTGTTTCACCGAGAGGCATTCCGAATCCTCGCGGAGGAATCGCCAGTCACGAAACGAAGTCATTCCTCTGCTACGATACGCATAAAGTTTCGCGAAGTTTCTTTTTCTTTTTCTTCATTTTCCGTCGATCACGTCGGTGCACGATGCGAAAGCAAATTCAACGAGAACCTTAACGAGAATACATGCGCGTGCTTAATTACATCTCCGTTTCGTTCGCAATTCGTCAAAATTCGTAATTCATTCAGAAATTATTTTCAGATTTGGAAGCCTGAATCAAATAACTGAATAATAAGCCTCTCTTTTCGAATCGACTATTTTTTTCACAAGCTGAAGGAAAATCCCTGCGTGCAAAAATTATTTTCAGATTTGGAAGCCTGAATCAAATAACTGAATAATAAGCCTCTCTTTTCGAATCGACTATTTTTTTCACAAGCTGAAGGAAAATCCCTGCGTGCAAAAATTATTTTCAGATTTGGAAGCCTGAATCAAATAACTGAATAATAAGCCTCTCTTTTCGAATCGACTATTTTTTTCACAAGCTGAAGGAAAATCCCTGCGTGCAAAAATTATTTTCAGATTTAGGAGCCCGAATAAAATAACAAAACAATAAGCCTCTCTTTCCGAATCGTCCATTTTTGTTCACAAGCTGAAGGAAAATCCCTGCGTGCAAAAATTATTTTCAGATTTAGAAGCCCGAATAAAATAACTGAATAATAAGCCTCTCTTTCCGAATCGACTATTTTTTTCACAAGCTGAAGGAAAATCCCTGCGTGCAAAAATTATTTTCAGATTTAGGAGCCCGAATAAAATAACAAAACAATAAGCCTCTCTTTCCGAATCGTCCATTTTTGTTCACAAGCTGAAGGAAAATCCCTGCGTGCAAAAATTATTTTCAGATTTAGAAGCCCGAATAAAATAACTGAATAATAAGCCTCTCTTTCCGAATCATCCATTCTTGTTTACAAGCTGAAGGAAAATCCCTGCGTTCAAAAATTATTTTCCGATTTATAAGCCCGAATAAAATAACCGAATAATAAGCCTTTCTTTCCGAATCATCCATTCTTGTTTACAAACTGAAGGAAAATCCCTGCGTGCAAAAATTATTTTCAGATTTAGAAGCCCGAATAAAATAACAAAACAATAAGCCTCTCTTTCCGAATCGTCCATTTTTGTTCACAAGCTGAAGGAAAATCCCTGCGTTCAAAAATTATTTCCCGATTTAGAAACCCGAATAAAATAACAAAACAATAAGCCTCTCTCTCCAAATCGTCCGTTCTTGTTTACAAACTGAAGGAAACTCAGGGAGAATTTAAAAAATAATAATAATAATAAACTTGCCCTAACTGGTCCGGCATTCCAACACTCGCGTGTAAGGTATTGAAAAGAACGCACGAAAGAGAACGTGCGTCCGCTGTCCGCGATCAATTCTCCAAAGAAAAGCAGTCGACCACCAATCCTAGATAAAAGTAATTAATAATCCGGTGAACGTTCCGACGTCATCGGAAACCCGGCTTCGGCGTGTCGGGGCCTCGCTATACATAGATGTTGCGTCAAACAGGAAGCAGAATTATTTGCCGCACAGTCGCCGGGAGTCCTTCTGTTTAATCTACGCTCTACATATCGGCGGAGGCTCGTATCATTACCATGATTTCCAGCGGGCTGAAAACGGCGCGCGGTCTTTGCATACTGATCGCTTGTTAACGGGCCGACTTAATCTGGGCTACTTTCTACAACCGTGGGCGAAGCGTGTGCGAGAGTTAATGAAAAACTACAACCGAACCCGGCCGCCGCGGCGGGGTGCTGTGCCGGTCATGCGATTGCCATTAGCGTGGAAGACGCCGCGCGTGTTCGCCGGGTTTCCGCAAACATCGTTTACGATCCGGCATGTACTGTATACATACGTATAATCGGATTCTCGGTGGAAATTACCAGGTGACTGGGTAACGCGAATGTTCCCATGATCTCGCGGAGAACGTTCGCTATTTTCGTTCTTCACTGTGTTGCATCGTGCGATTTTTAGCTGGAGAAGTGGACTGCGCTGCCATTTCACTCTTTCGCCGGAATTTTTCGCGTTTATTTATTTTAATAACGTGCTGTTTTATTTTAGAATTATCTCCGTGCCTGCGATCATTTTTGATATGACAGTGTTTGAAATGTTATTTCGAGTAACGCGTTGTTTTATTTCGGAATTATTTGAGGTGATCAGTTGAGATTATTGTTTGCAATCATTATTTGAGATTATTGTTTGCAGTAATTATTTGAGATAATCATTTGAGATTATTGTTTGCAGTAATTATTTGAGATAATTATTTGAGATTATTGTTTGCAATAATTATTTGACGGTCAAGGATGCAGCGGTCAAGGAAAAGCGACCAGAATTGGTCAATTATTTGAGATTATTATTTGCTATAATTCTTTGAGATTATTATTCGAGATTATTATTTGAGACAATTATTTGAGATAATTATTCGAAATAATCATTTCAGATTATTATTTGCCATAATTATTCGAAATAACTGTTTGAGACAATTGTGAAATTTTTCTCAAAGTCTATACACGGTGACCTAATTGTCAGCACCGAGTCTAGTTTATGCAACAGTGTAAATGACATAAATAATAATAATAATAAGAAGAAGAAGAAGAAGAAGAAGGATTTTTCTGAAGAATATTTCGATTTTTTGAACAATTCGATTAGTATCTTTCATCGAGATTACAACCGGACCATACCATTCCATTTTATACGAAATAAAAATTCTCTGCATCGATGATTATAATTAATTAATCGTTAAATAGCCATACGTTTTTCTCTCGATAAATTCGACAAGTTGAAAAAACCTAGTTGCTTGAAAATCTTCAAGCGTTTATCTCGTTGTCTCCTAATTCGGTCCGCTAATTTTTGCAACGATTTGCAACAAAATCCGCAATCGCAAATACAATAAAATGTGAAAAGAAAAAAGCATCAGTCCTCCTGATTTCCTGAATCAACGTTCGATAATAACCCGGAGAACGGCGAATGAATTCGCGCAAGATCCGCGACGCACTGATTGCGGAAGAATTCGGTTCGATTGCTTCTTGCAACGATGTTCGAGTGCAATCGAGCGCGAGCCCGTTGTCCGGATTCCTTTAACTGCGCAGAATTGATGCGATCGAAGGCAAGCAGCATTATGCTCGCCGGATAGATCAGCGATTATTTTTGTGCAAGCCGATGGATTATTCACGTCCGCCGCGCGCCGCTGCTGGTTGCGGAACGAGAGCCGGGCAACAGGCGGGTGCAACAGGTGGTTCCCTTCCGTGATGTTGCACCGCCGGCGAGCGGGTTTGCACTCGTGTGCAAGGCAAATTGCGTTCCTGCTGGACGATTTGTTCTCACAATCGTCGCTCGGCGGAATCCTTCGCGATTAATTCGACGAAATCGAGGGATTCCCGTTCCCTTTAATCTCGGCTCGGTAAATCGAATAACGCGCTTTCAATTCGCCTGGAAATGCTAGTTCGAGAATTTCGCCTGTGTAATTTTATTCTCTCTCTCTCTCTCTCTCTCTCTCTCTCTCTCTCTCTCTCTCGCTCGCGTCTCGATGTTCCTCGGAAAACGATCAGCGCAACATTACACGTAAATTGTTTGCATAACGCTGACGTCGCGCGTAAAACTGAGCAAACGCCTCGCGAACGCGTTCACGTAAATCACTCTGATTGATGTCCATCGGCCGCTTAATTGGTTTATTGATCTATCCGAGCGAATCGAACGAACGATTTACGCGGAAGAACCACGAGGAGGACAGCTCGTTTTTTCCGCGCGGTATCATGTATATCGATCGAAACGGAGCCTGAATCATTCGCGTTCCAATCTCGATTCGTTCATCCGTTGAGTAACATTTAGACTCGCAGAATCTCGCAGCTCGTTGTCCGTTTTCACAAAGCGCACCGGCATCGTAAAATTAATTTCTGAATTGTTCGTTCGAGACGAGCATCTTTTTTTATTACCGTGTTCGATTAAGACGATTTTAAAAGATATTTATTTGCAGTTTCTTAAGCTTCATTATATGCTTCGCGAATCGCGCAATTAGTGTTCCAAGTCTCGTAATTAGTGCAGCGAGTCTCGAAAGGGTCAGTTGCTCGCGTTCCTTCGCAGTTTTCGCCTCGTGGAAGCTTACGAAAGTGTGCATTGTATGCAACAACGGAAAGAGCTGCGCTCTCGTGGCGCTCGATTGCAATCGTGCACCGTCTTAAGCCTTGTCTGCACTGCGAATCGCGCTGAGATCGACCTGAAGCTGCATTCCCACTTGCTTGACATCGCTCGTTTCAACGACGAACCCATATTTCCATGTTTCTCTCGGCGAAGCGTTCTCAAAAATTGTCTGACATTTAGAAATTTTCTAAGGTTATTATAAAATATGTGCATATGTTGCATTTTATGATCTTCGTGAGAAAAGAAGAATTGTCTGCACTCGTTGCAAGAATCAGGATTGACTTAGGAGATACTCTGTTGTCCTTTCTTTAATGATATTAAAAATCTTCGAACTCGCAGCGATCCATCTTTTGTCAGAAATGCATAAAATTCGCGATGATCCAGTTATTATGCAACCGTATATTGCAAGTGAAAGGATGCGTGTATATCGAGCAATTGCAATAATGTTAATTGGGATGAGCATTTTACGTGAGAACATTTATGTTTTAGGAAAATTGTTGCAAATTGTGTTTAAGCAGCTTTAAGAATCAATTATCGATTATCGATGAATTATCGATTATCCATTATCGTGTAATATTACTACAGACGAGTTACACACTGTGATAACATTTTTCGCATTTTTTACGAGAGAATATATTTTATTTAACAGAATGTTATAACTGGACCGCAGATCTTTATGCTTCTAATAATTTTAATTATTATACATATACAATTATATTACATGCATAATTAATATATACATTATTACACATATGGTTAATATATTAACTATATATGTAATAATATTATATATGTAGTTAATATATGTAAAAAACTATATATATATATATATATATATATATATATATATATTTATATTATGAATTAATATTACATATATAATTATTCTAATTATTTGAAAAATTATTCTTCCAATATTCTTCCCATTTATTTTCTCTCTCGCGTCACCGTTTTTTTCCCCCGTGAACGCATAAAATCCGCAGCCCAGTGGTAACAAAGATACGAGAGCCTGCTTCAAGCTCATTCTTTCGAAACAATTATGAAAACGAGAGCGGAGCACGTCCAAAGGCGATCGTTCAGGTGACGACGAAGCCACGACGGTCTATCTTTCGAGAGAGCAGTTCGACCGAAGCACGTTCGCAGTCGTAACAGCAGTTCGTCACGCTGCTATTATGCAGCTGGTGCATGCAACGATGCGCACGGTACACCCTGTAGAATCGTTCGAATTCACGGAATCGCCGCAGCGTTGCGACGCGAACGTGTCAGCGAGCATTTCGTCACAAGGCGACTAATACGCGAGCATCTTCCTCGCGGCGCGGCGCGGCCGCGGCCGCGGCCCGCGCGATGATTCAACGGCGCGTTTCTGCCTTTTCCATTTTATACAACTTTCTCGACTGAATGAAAGCGTACGCGCCGGGCGGCGAGGCATATTTCCACGAGAGTAACCTCTGAATTAACGGTTCGAGGCGCGTTCGTTCTGTCGCTGCACAATGCCGTGCAGTTATGCATCGTGCTGCACCTACCAACTAAGCGTTACCGACAGCGACACGGACAGGTTAAGCGGTCGTTTAGAAGCGACGAAGGATACAAACCCGCGGTTACGCCGCGCGGAAACGTATAACCGTTCGTCTCCTCACTAAAGCCGCCTGTCCATCGAGTAAACGGGTTCGCGAACTTTTATCGGGCCATCTGAAACGTTCGCGACGCTCCAACGAATAGTTTACCGCCTTTTATCGACTTTTCCTGCGGTTCGTTTATCGCCACGCTCGTCTCGGAGACTTAGATCCGTTTCGATGAAAAAGGTGATTCGCGCGTCGACCAATTAGCTGTTGCGATCTTCTTAAAAAGTCTGCAAATCGCTGCAATTACGCTATATATATATCCACTGCTCCATTCAACGTGCAAGAAAATTAAATATATATTATATATATATATATATATATATATATATATATATATATCTTTAATTTTCTTGCACGTTGAATAGAACAGTGGAATATTTGTTATATAAATATATGATATTATATTCGTAATATTTGTTATATAAATATATGAATCGTGCGAACACGACTGTTCATATCGGTGCTCGGAACGCTTCAGCGCGCAACATTAGGCTCCGCCCCCTGGCTACCGCTGCAGCGTCCTGCTCTCCGCGTTATCCCCACCGCAGCGTCTCGCTCGCCGCGTTGCCCCCACCGCGACCGTAGACGCTAGGCGGGGCAGTCAGAAGGCGGAGACTAATGTTGCGTTCCGAAGCGTTCCGAGCTCCAGTTTCCGTAATCGAACGATTACGCGATACTGGATCTATCGAGTATTAAATGAAGAAAATTAGCATTTCTAACGATGTTCCCATTGATTCGCAGATACGGTGCTGGTGCAGCAGGTCGACTTCTTGGAGACGATTTTAGAGGAGACCTCCGACGATCTTCAGAGCGACTCCGATCGCAGCGGGACCACATATTGGGTCGGCTCGGACTCGGAGACCGAGAGCGTGATCCACATACGATCGAAGCAGAGATCGGCAGGTAAGAGCCGCCGTGAGATCCTGTCGGTGTTAACCCTTTAACTGCGAAAGGCGTAAATATACGTTCTCACGAATCTATCAATATATATAAATTGTAATTAATATATTATATATATTATATATTATTATATATTATATTATATATAATTATATATAATTATAATTATAGTAATTATATTTACTAACGTTTTGTATTAAAATACCGATTATCATTGAGGAAATGTGCAAGCAAATTAAAAATTATATCCGCCGATGGTTGCACGCCTCGGGCAGGCTGGGAATAGGTTTAAAAATATCGAAGAGCTGTTGGACCGGGCCGACCAATGTCAATTTGGCAACAATACCGAACATGGGCTGACTGCCACGCGGTCCATTACGCCGCGAAGTGCGTGTAACGAGCTCGCACTAGCCCACCTGGCTTCCCTGCAAATAATCTGGCAGATATCGATCTTATTACTCAATGCTCGCGAGTATCTATCGAGTACAGCAATGTCTCCCTAACTGACGCTCGGGTTGTGCAGAAAAATGGGCAATTTGGGAAGAGGAGGTACGATTATTCGAACCTTAACATAATATATATATATATATATATATTATTAACTTATTATTAACTATATTAACTATAATACTTATGTACTTAAGTATATTATACTACTTTATACTTAACTATATTATTAAATTATTATTATTATTATTATTATTATTATTATTATTATATTATATATATATAATATAATTTATATTATTATATATTATTATTGTATATAATATAACTTGGCGCATAACCTTGACAATTCGTAACTATAAAAGCCACCCGCAAAGGCTCGAATAATCGTATTCTCTTCTTCCCAAATTGTCCATTTCTGTGGACAATCCGAGCGTCAATTAGAGAGACATTACTGCAGTCGGACGACGCCGAGCGTCCACGCTGTATCGATTGTGATCGGTATTAGAACCGTAAACACGAGGTGAATTGAGTAACTCCGACTCTGATTCTATCATTGATCACACCGACGCATCAATTGTCGAGCTGCATGACCGAGCAATTAATGTTTTTGACCCGTTAACCGGGGAATTGACTTTTGTTCGACTCGTTTCGGAACGGGGATCTTCTTCTTCGCAGCGGGAAGTTGTATTGTCAAGCTTAAAATAATTAAGAAAATCGCCTTCGACTTGTTGATCATTCATTTTGACAAAATATCTTGTGACAATTTTTATTAACAAAATTGAATCTATTGATGGTATCGTTAATGCAGGAGTGTATGTAA